CCCAAACGGTGAAAGGGAAGAGGAGTAGGCCTCTAATGTAGTGACCAAGGATATGGTCACATGGTGAGGAAGTCCCAAAGGATAGTGGGACTTAGTGGTCGGGCCTGCGGGCCTTGATCCAGTGGCAGTGTTGGTGAACACGGCCATGGACGAGAAGGGACTTGGTGGGGACTGGAAAAGAGATGTCGGGGAAGGCTATTCCCCATATCTGTGGGCATCCTAGGGATGCTAAGGAGTGGATCTGGGATGATCACTCACGGACGGATGGCCCGGTCTTTGAGAGACGGGACTATGATGCCGTTGGCGTTAGACCAAAGGTGTGACCAAGGTGAATGGGCATGGCCTTAGCGTAACGGGCCAATATGTCGGGGGTACCTTGGGGTGTCAGTCATGGGATCGGACACGTGGAGCACTTGGACCAAGTGCAAAGGTGGAGTGGCACGGAGGCCATTCTCGGGGCTAGCAAGCTCCAAGTCCTAACTGGGACTTATGGAGGTTGTGAATGAGACTCCTCCAAGTGGTCGGAGGTGCGGTTAAGTGACTAAAGTAAAATGGAAAAATTAATCGCTTATACTGGCTAGTCCAGTTTGCTCCCGCTAGGCTCGACCCAAGGGTAGGGTGTCAAGAGAGCGGGGCTCTTGGGAGAGCTGCGGCTCTCAGCTTCCGTTCACGAGGGTGTGAATTTGCAGGGAAGTGTGGTGGATTATAAGCAACCAAAGGGAACGACTTGAGAGACGATCCATGGGGTTCAAATATAGAGGGAAAGGGCCCATGAACAAGAGTGCACCCCCTTTTCCAATCGGTTAAGGGTCTTGAGATATTTGGGGTTAAGTGTCTTTGGGTTTGAATAGTACTGGGCTGGGTGACCTCCTGGGAAGTCCAAACTCAAGAGCTTACAGATAGTACAGATAGTTAGTAGGAATGAGTGTTTATTAGTCTTGCTTATTAGTCTTGCTGTATTCATTCTATTCTGTTAATTGTTGCTCGAGTTAGTTCTATTAGATTATGATGTTATTTCCTTTGGGTGATACATTTGAGAGCATTTTACTTATTTGACAATGATCTTTTAATTGTTTTTTATAAGTTTTTTGGTATACTATCTACAATCTTTGGTAGTTAAGTTTTATCATTAAGTTTTCTTAATGATATATTTGCTGTTGAATTTTGTTGGATGGTGAATCTTATATTTCCAACTATAGTGATCTTGGTAGTTTCTATACTCTAATACTAGTTTATTAGATGTTAACTTACTTAGAATACTTTTATGTTCTAATTTAAGATTTATTCACTGATAATTAAGTCTCTTAGATATCATTGTCTTTAACTTTGATATTGTCCATCTATTGATATTTGGGTTTAGGCTAATATAAGTAGACTGGCTTTAGAACTTCATGTGTATAATGAAATCTCTAGTCATGGGGTAACTATTGTTAACTAGTCATATCATTCACCTCTTTCATGATGTTCTTTATTTTGTTAAAAGGGCATGACCATGTAAACAACTCTAACTATTTGTTTATAGTAGTTTATCTAAACTTTACTTACGGGTTTGGTTTCTTTAGTTAAAGGCATCTAACTTCTCTCTCTCATGTTAGACCACCGGTATGGTAAAATAATGCTAAACTCTATTTGGATTTGTTTTGCATGCTAGTCTTGGCATTGGGATGTTAGATGCTTTAGGACTATTTTTGCTCTTATCCTTTCACTCTTTGGGCTGTACGCTTGGGAGTTACTCCGTGCTTTAATACCTTCTCTGCTTGGCTCCATGTTTAGGAGTTTTGCTCTATTCCATCATTTAATGGCCTAAGGCCTTAAAACTTGGGTTTTGCTCCATTGTCCTTGGATATGTGGCATGTGGCACATGGGATGTCATATGTGGCATATGGAGAGTTTAAGTTCTGCTTCATAATTATTATATGGTAAATCACCATAGGATAAAAATTGAAAACCACATAAGTTATATGTTTGGATCTATATTTATATTTATATTTTATTTGTCAAATTTACTTAGAAATATAGATTATATGATTTACAATGTTTTTCTAGTGTTTGAGAAGTCATGAGCTCAACTCATAAACTCAAAACTTACCTAGGTTCTAATATATATAGTTATCTTTACAGTAATTTCCCACTCAATTATTGATGCTTCTTCATAGTACATAATATACTAGATTGAGATCTCAGCTCACTTGCAAGCTAGCTGTCATTCTCCTAATGCAAAATGACTTGAGCTCACAAGCTTGATAAAACTTCATTAAACTTTTTGAGAGATTTCTAATAGGAATGCCCACAGTTCAGCTCCTCAGTTCAAGAGTCATAAGACACTCTCATGAGCCAAGGAAACAAATTCCCTTCATTTGATAAGGGCAACACTAAAAAAATATGAAAATCCTGCAAAATTGGAGCTTGCTTGTCATATGCAGGAACTAGAAGACAATCAGTTTCAGCAAGTGTCGGACGGATCGACTGACAGCTGCTGCGAGATGTCAGCTTCTACTGTTGCCAAGGTGTTAAGCCCGTCAGAAACGGAAGGATGGTAAGTTATGTAAGAGCTTAGCTAACTCCATTTATTTTTACGAGCTCTCGCTATTCAATCTGGCAACCATAGTGCCGAAAAGCTTTGCAGCTTTTTTGTCATAGTCCAATCCCCGCTTTCTCAGTTCCTGCTGGAGCACCTTGGCATCTCTGTACAACTCAGAATCAGATGATGCCCCGACTGTTAGAACCCGCTACTCACCTGTTGTGCGGATCGGCAGCAATCATCTTTCTCACGTCCTTGTCCGCCAGTTCAATGTCCGCGTTCTCCAAATAAGCCTGGGCTCGCCTATAAAGCGCTTTCATATTGCCGGGCTCCAGATCCAGCACCTGTACGATAAGAGTCTGAGACTAGGAAGAGTGCACGTTCAGTGCTCGCCCACCTTCGTGCATAAAGCAATGCAATCTTTGTACTTCTCCTGCTTCAGTTTGGACGCAGCATTGTTTACGCAGCATACGGTTTTGAGCTGCTTAGACAGCTTTTTCTCCTCGTCAGAAAACTTGTGATCGTGATCAATGTATTTGACAGCCTGCAACAAGGCGGAAGGCAATACCGTCAAAGCGTGTGCGACACAAGGAAGTGCTACCTGCCTTGTCGTACTTCTTCGAAGCACGCCAGTACTTTCCGCCCTTGAAATGCTGGTTCCCTTCTTCTTTGTGCTTGCTTGCTGCTTCCAGCTTCTCAAGGGTGCTCATTTCCCAGATGTCTTTGTCCTGAGATACGAGACACATGCATGCGTCATACCATGGAGAACTTGGAAAAAACCAACCTTGTCAAAGCTGACAAGCTCAACGATGTACACTAGCGTGGAACTTGGTGGTACAGTTGCCAGGTCCGTCCGAAATTCCGAGCCACCATACCCATAATCTGGAGCGATTGTCACCTCCGCAACTTCACCTTTTTTCATAGCTGCCACAGCTCTGTCTAAGCCACTCACAGCTTGCTCTGCAGAAAGGCCCCTTTTAAGAGTGAGCTCGTACGAACACACAGCCTTACCTTCACCGATGGTAAACTCGAGCAGGTCATCTTGGCCGTAGCCTTTGCGCTCAAAGACCGTCCCGTCCAAAAGTCTGGCCTCGTATTTGACTGCAGAGATCACATGTAAGCGACAAATTGTTCACAAAGAGCACCACTAGTTACCCCTGACAAGGGCGCCATCGTTCGGCTTGGTTTGTCCTTCTCCGGCCACCAAGATCTTCTTGACAACACGCCTGTCATCAGTGACATCATCTACCGTCCTCCACTCGAGAAGCTCGATGTCAACAGTCAAGGTTGCATAGGGAGGCACATATGCTCCACTACGGGTAGCCTTACGCCCCTGTTCCGCAAATCCGTCTGCAAGTCTGGTCAGTTTGATAATAATCAGTGGATTTATGCAGCTAGCTTAGCTTACACTGAGGCGTCACGGTTAACAATGCTTGTTCTCCATGTTTCATTGCTCTTACGGCCTTCCCGATTGCAGGGCAAAAGAATCCTGCATCAAAATGTTCAAACTGTTAGCTACAACAGACAAGTTCCACTTCCGTCAAGCACCATCTCTTGGACAGATGGTCACGCCTTTCGCGGGTGTCTTTTCAACAAGGGTGCCGTCCTGCAACGTCGCCGTGAACCTCACTGGTACGCATGGAGTTACTCCGTAAGGAAAGTGAAAAATAGCGGTAGCTATTACTTACCTGTAACTTCGTCCGAGTCTTTAGGAGTTTCCCACTTGTGACCCTCAGAGACGACTTTCTTGACGATGCCGCCGTCTTTGAGTACGTCGGTGATGCTAGCCCAAGTTAGCAGCTCCACTTCAAACACGAGAGTAGCGTTTGGAGGAACCAGGGGCGGGCAACCAGCTTTGCCATAGGCCATGTCGGGTGGGATTGTGAAAACGGCTACTTCTTTCTTCTTCATCGAGCCAATGCCTCGGTCCCAGCCCCTTATCACCTCTCCTGCACGGAAGACTCAGGCAAAGGAGCGAGTTGAGATAGAATAGCCACATTGTACTCCACCTTGGCCGAGCCTGAACACGAAGGGCTGGTTCTTATCGTGGGTGGAGTCGAACTTGGTTCCATCGGCAAACCTCCCAACGTAGTGCACTGCATTCATCCATGGAAGAGTTTAGCCGATGGAGAAAGCCTCTCTACTTTCTAAGGAAGAAGAAGGAGGAGAAGAGGAGTACCTGTGAGCTCATCACCAGGCTTGGGGACATCCCAGCCTTGTCCAGCCCTGACGAGCAGCTTCTTGAGACCGCTCTGCCCGAATTCCTTCTCCACGCCTTCCTTCTGCATTGCAGAAGGAAACCTCTCCATGAACTTGCCATCAACCGTTTTGAACTTTTCAGCCAAGTGCTTGAATGCCGCAGCGGCTGGATTGTGGTCGTCTGGGCAGGCCGCCTCGTCCACCGCCATTGCGCGCTAAAACCCTAGCTAAGCCATCACCCTCCCCCAAAATATCTTCTCTCCTCTCCCCAAACAAAATATCTGGCACTGGGGCTCCTTTAACATTAACAACGTGGAGGCTAACACTGCTTCTTTTCAAGTAGTTTAGCGGTGCTTGCGCAAGTCTATCCCCGCTTCCTTGGCCATGGCGTCCAGCCCCTTCTTGTCGATGGTCTTGAGCGCCTGCGTGCATATCCTGAGCCTGACGAACCTCTGCCCAGCCTCCCACCACAGCCGCTTGTACTGCAGGTTGGGCTGCTGCTTCTTCCTGGTGCGGATGTGGGAGTAGGAGATCTTGCGCGCGTTGTTGTACTTCTTGCCCGTCAGCTCGCACACCCTGCCTGGCAAAAGCCCAAGTGGAAATTATCAATTACCGGTTGGACTCGCGGCTTCTGCTACACTTACTTGCCAGGGGCTGGACGATGAGGGACGAAAGCCTCTGCAATGGCACCACGAGTGGAACCGCCACACCAGTGCCAGCCAGCTCGCTCTTCCGCCAGCTCAAATCCTTGGCCGCGTGGGACGTTATGGGCTTGAGCTTGAGCTTGCAAGGCGGCGGCATTGCTGCCATTGCGAAAAACGCCATACTACGTACCTGCGTTGTTACCCTACCAAAAGTCTTGGCAGGAGCAAGTCCCCTTGTCAAAGGTGTGGAAGCGGTACGTATCCCTCACGATTATCTGCCGCCCCACAATCCTGGAGATGTACTTGGTGGCCGAGTGACAGTCAGCGCACACGCGAAGGTTCTTGACAATGTGGAGGCTCGTCCCGGCTGGAGTGCTCCTGATCCCGAATGCAATTGCCAGCTTCTCGCTGTGGTAGCTCCCCAGCCTCTCCTTGTCGCCGTGGCCAGGATCGTCGGGCACGTAACCAGCACGCTGCATTTCTGCCGCCAGCGCCTCGAGGGTGGCGGCCAGCTCCGGTGGGGACGAGTCCGCTGACACGAACTCGTGCACCTTGTTGTTGACCTCGATGGCGCTCCACCCCGCTGGCTTCACCACCCCTCTCATGTCCATGCGCCTCCTGACGCTCGCCGCCTCCTCCAGCCTCCCAGCCCTCGAGTAAATGGTCGACAGCAGCACATAGGCGGCTGAGTCGGCCGGCTCCAGCGCCATGAGCTTCTCGGCGGCCCGGACGCCCCGATCTGGGCTGCCCTGGAGCCTGCACGCCCCAAGCAACGCCCTCCAGCACACCGCATCGTCCGGGGCCCCGGGCACAAGCTGGTGCTGGTAAGCGTGGGTGATCAACTCCTCCGCGTCTTGGAGCTTGCCAACCCGGGACAGCAGGTCCACCACCATCACCAGGTGCTCGGCAGTGGGCGCGACACCGTAATCGGCGCTCATGGAGCCGAAGCAGCAGCAGCCGCGCTCCAGCATGCCCGCATGGCAGCACGCGTGCAGCACGCTGCTCACCGTCACCTCGTCGGCTTCCATCTCCAGCGACATGCCCCGGAACAACTCCACCGCCTCGCTCGCATGACCGTGCTGGGCATAAGCACCCAGCATCGCATTCCAGGCAATCACGCCCCGCGCCTCCATGCCGTCGAACACGAGCCGCGCTTCACGAATCCGTCCGCACTTGCCGTACATGTGAAGCAGCGCGTTGCCCACCGCCGGCAACTGCTCGTATCCACAGCTCCGGATGCGGGCGTGGAGGGCGCGGCCCTGGCCGAGGCCTCCCACGCCACCCAGCCCGCTGCAAGCCGCTACACCGCAGCTCAGCGTGGCGGCGTCCAGCGCCACCCCCTCCACCTCCATCTGCCTCATCACCTGCAGCGCCTCGCGGAAATGCCCCGACCCGGCAAATGCGGCCATGATCCCGTTCCAGCTCACGCGGTCTGGGCAGCTGCACCGCTCAAACACCTCCACCGCCGCGTCCACGTCCCCGCACTTGGCGTACATGCTCAGCACGGCGTTGGTGGCGGACACACTGGCGGCGAGGATGCCGCGCGCAACCATGTCCGCGTGAAGCCGCCGCCCCTGCTCCAGCTGCGCCGCACCGCACGCGCCGCAAGCAGACAGGGCGTTGATGAACGTGACCACGTCGCGCTCGCAGTCCATGCGCTGCAACAGGCACAGCGCCTCCACTCCCAGCCCCTGTGCCGCGTACGCCCAGATGATGATGTTCCACGACACGGTGTTGCGCTGCCGCATGGCGTCGAACACGGCCCTCGCCTCCAGGACGCTGCCGCAGCGGGCGTACATTTGCACCAGGGAATTGGAGAGGAAGACGTCGGCAGCCACGTCGCCCCGTGCTGCCAGGAGCGCGGCATGGACGGACCGCCCGGTGCTGAGATGGTGGCAGCAGCCGCTCAAGACGCTCGCGAACGTTGTGTCGTCGGGCCTCACGTCGGGCTGCCGGAGGAGTGCCTGGTAGAGGTGGAGGGCTTGTGCGGCTTGCCCGTGGTCCAGCCACGCCGCAATCATGGCGTTCCACGAGATTGTGTCGCGCCGCTGCATCGCCTCGAAGGTGGCCTCGGCATCCACCATGCTCCCGCAGTGCCTGTAGAGCGTGATGAGCGCATTGCCCAGCACCGGCGTGGTGGACAAGATGCCCGACTCCGTCATCCTCGACTCTATTTGCTTCCCCCTGGCCAGCAGCATGCCGTGCTGCTTTCCGGAGGAGCACAAGCGCAGGGCATTCAGCAGGGCTACGTAAGCGACACGATCGGCCCGAATCCCCTCCATCTCCATCCTGTGAAACACCAGCACGGCCTCGCTGCCATACCCATTCTGGGCATATGCAGACATGAGGATGGAGAAGGAGTAGACGTTAGGGACCGATATCCTGTGAAATGCCGCTGCCGCCGCGTCCATGCACCCGCAGTTGCCATACATTTGAACGAGCAAGTTGCCCAGAAAGGTGGACGAGTCCTGATTGCTGGCCACGAGCTGCGCATGGAGCCGCTTGCCCTCGTCCAAAGCCGCCCTGCTTCCACACTGCCGGAGGGCTGCTGCGAGAGCGTTGATGCTGCCACTGCCGTTGTTCCGGAGCGGCATGGATCAAGATCCACCTCCATGGATTCAGCGGACTGTTTATTGGAACAAAAGAAACAATGCTATGTACACAGACAGACACGGACGAAGCATCATTGAGGCGGGTCGGAATGAGCTATAAAAGAACCAAATGCTCCACCACCATGGCCTAAACTCCTTGCCACTCCTAACCTTTCCCTCGGCGTTGATTCTTCGCTTTTGGTACCATCATCTCCACCTGCGGCACAAGAGAAAAACCGTCAGTTTCTCTCAGCTCGTATAAATGCAGCCATCCACTCACGCGCCCTCGCTTTCTTGCTGAAACTGTCATCCAAGAGGTAGATCGACGAGCTGACCATGGTCTCGCTCGCAGATTTCCTCATGCCCACTTGCAAGGAGAAAGAAAAGCTCTCTCCTTGCTCACTTGGTGCAACACTGACTGCACTGTAGTCAAGGCCTTCCCAGATCTTGTTTGCCCGCTTGCTGCTACGCATATCCAAGCTGTTAGCACGTCCCAACTTTGGAACAGCAGGCCGTTTCACTACCTCTCCGTCTTGTGCAGCTGCGGCATCCGGGTTGCTTCGAGGAGCGGCTTCCTCTTTGGCAGCCTGCCCGCTGTCGGCGTCGCTCTCGAGGGACATCAAGAACTTGGCGGCAGACGCCGTCCTCATGAGCGGCCCGCCAGCCTTGGTCCAAGACAGGTTGCTAAATTCCTCCGCTCCACTGTCGCTGTCGCTGCCGTCGTGGTTGTGCCGCATAGGCCTCAATCTGCGCAGTGACGGGCCGCCCCAGGGCCCTCCCGCTTGCAAGGTCCCCTCTATGCTGTCCTCGTCCAGCGAGCCCCAGGAGCTCTCGCGGGCCAGGCAGTTCCACGACGGTATTCTCTTGGTGGCGGAGAAGCGAGAGGAGAAGACGCCAGGCGCGTGAGCGGAGTTGCGCTCGGCGTCCCTCTGAGCCTTGCGCCTGCGGCTGAGCTCCGCTACGCACTCGTCTAGCATCAACTCGATCCCACAGTTGGCCTCTATCGCGGACAGCTTTTCCCACGTGCAGCGCCGGCCTTGCATCACAGCCTTCCTGAGCTCCGAGGGCGTCGGGTTCTGAATAAGCTTGGCGAACTGCATGCACAACAGAATAGACTGTTTCCCATCCATCCATCCGCAGAAAATGTTGTTACCTGAGCAAATGTAGCAGGCATGACAATGGTGACATCTCCCTCCCAGTCTTGGGCAAAGAGCTTGGCAAGGCCAAAGAGATGGAACCCCATCTCCAGCACCTGCCTGCACCTGTGCTTCACCTCCATCTCAGCCAGATGCGCCAGCTGCATTCCATACACGCACACACGACGATTATATGTTTGCACGCACCAATACACTTGGCAGTTACCTTTGCAGCGAAGTCGCCACCATAGGCCCTCACCAGCTCCTTGAGCCGCAAGAGCGGAGCAATGTGCGGATTGGCCTGGCTCACAATGAAATGGTTGACGTTGAACAGCTCCTTGAGCTGCATCATGGGCAAGTCGCTCTCCAGGCTGCCATCCCGCCACTGCCTGTTGCTGATGTTGTGATCCTCGGGGCCAACCTGTGACAGGGTGTGGTATGGCACAAGCCTGCCCTGCCTGTCCTTTGCCATGAGCTCCTGCGCCTCAAACAGGCCCGGGAAAGCACAGGAAGCGGTGACAGCGCTCCAGATAACAACGTGGGGCGAGCTGAGGTAGTTCAAGCACCGGGGTGGCTCGTGGCGGCGGGGGGAGCACACCGAGATGCCCAGGACACGGCCAGAGAGATCATATGCCTCCTGGAACGTGAGGTCGCCAATGAGCTGCCGCATCTTCCTCTGGAGCAGGCCGATCTCGTGAACTGCGCCGCGTGTGAGCAGCCTGTGTGCCGTCTTGAAGATGCTCCCCATGGACTCGAAGAAGTGCATGGGTGGCATGGGGTCGTCGAAGAAGCTCTGGAGCTCCGGCCACGTCCTGGTGGCGGCGAAGGAGCAGAGGATGGAGCCAACGCTGGCACCCGCCACCACCCTGGGCAGGAGGCGGTGCTCGATCAGGGTCCTCACCACGCCCAGGTGGAAGGCCCCCAGGGCCGCGCCTCCGCTCAGCAGCAGCGCCGTGCGCCCAAACCCGTGCCTCGTCTCGTGGATGAAGGCGATCTTCTCCTCGAGCGAGAACTCGTCCGAGTCGGTCTCGCAGATGGCGCGGAGGTGGTAGCACACCTCGTTGATGTACTCCTGGATGACGCGCGGGGTCTGGAGGCGGCCCTTGTGCAGCTCCGGGTTGCACATGTTGCCCAGGTTGCGCACCAGGTCGGCGCGCAGGCAGAAGAGGATGTCCTCCACGCCCGCCTTCATCCGCCGCAGCTTGAGCTCGTTGAGCTTGGCGCGCACCAGCTCCTCGTCGTACAGGTCCGAGTCCTTGCGCCGCCGGCGGCAGTAGTTGTCCTTGTCCAGCATGCTGGCGGCGTGCGTCCACTCCTCGTACGTCAGGGCCGACTGCATCATGTTGCTCCAGAACTTCCTCCGGAACACGAGCTCCGCCTTGGTGGATTCCAGGCGCGCGCGGCGGATGGCGTAGCCCACGCACAGCACCGCCGCCAGCAGCACGCTGGGCCGCCGGGGGTTGAACCACGACAGCACCCAGCCGACGAGTAGCATGGCCAGGCGCTTGCATTTCCGGACGTGAGCCAAGGCGCGCAAGCCCAGCACCTCCACCACCTCCTTGGCCGAGCGGCACAGCAGCACCTTGAGCGCCACAGCGCGGCCCAGAGCAGTGGATGGCCCGATTGGGAAGAGCACCAGCCCCGCCTCGTCGCTCGACTCCATACCTCCTTACCTGTGATGGATCGAGCTAAGCCCTAATGCCCTTTCTCCCCTTGTACCTAGGCTATATACACACGCAACTCCCACGCTGTCGTCTTTCCCAACTTTCCCTCATACATACATAAATACCAACACTTTGTATCATACATTATTAGAGCTAGGCTTGCGCGGCGCCAACTTGGCCTGCGCTTGGCTCCTCGGCCACGTCCTTGTTGTTCCACAGTGCTCCCAGCTCTTTCCTTATCCATCCCAGCAGCACCACAATGCCTACGCCAGGTTATAGAGGTTACACTCAAATACTTCGGGAATGTTATCAAGACTCACCTAGAGTGCAGGGAACGATGTAGAGCAGCGCCGGCTGGCCATGGCCGTCCATCAGGTTGAGAGCAACGTAAGTTAGCATGAGTCCTGCGCGCAGAACATAGAAACAGATTTGAGGCAAAGATTTATTCGATGCAGAGATAATCCACGTACCCAGGCCATAGCCGACCGTTGTCCACAAGAAGTATCCCCCGGAAAGGCTCTTCTTGTTGGCCCAATCGAACCTGCCGGCACACCAGTTACCTCACTTGCTTGAGCTAATCTAAACAAACAATAAAGGGCACCTGAGTGTGAATGACACCAACAAGCCCGGCAGAAGTATATCGCCAAACCCGATGATGGAGTAGCCTCCCCAGGGATCGTAGAAGCGCGGGACCCTGAGCAGCATTGGGATGCTCTCCCCTCCACTCTTATCTCCCCTAGCCACCTGCAAAGGAGAACATTCCACCAAAAGAGGTAAAACGAACAGATAGTCGGAGCTTACATACCACGATCATAACGCTCTCTTTGAAAATGTATGGAGATATGAAGACCCAAAAGATATCATACAGAAACGCACAGCTCAACAAAACCGTGGAAACCTGTAAAACAGCACAGCTACGACCTTGGAACGGAGGAAACCAGAGAGTTACCTTAATGTTTGGCAAGCGAACAACTTGCAAGACGGTCAGGATCAATGCTACACCCTGGTGAAAACAGCTTCCAGTAGTAAATAGCCAGAGAATTAAGACAAGAGGCTCTCACCAATACGTCTTGGCCAACCCAGGCCACATGAGCGTGCCTATACACAGCCCATATTACAGAAAAGGCCACACAGATGGGAAACACCACGACAGAAAGGGAACTGACAGTCCCCAGGATTGGAATGGTTATGTGCCGCGTACCAACACCAGGAAATAACCTGTAAATCGCCTCGCCACAGGATGCTGGTTCAAAGAGAAGTAGCAGCTGATAGCGAATATGCCTCACCTGGATAGCAGTGTTACGAGGCACGTTTGTAATCCCTGCAAAAGGAGCAAGTAAGACTCTAAAACATCATCAGTCTGATGTTACATTACCTCAGCACCGCCAATGCAAAACAAGACAACGAGCAGCATTAGAAACCAGTTGGACATAAATAAGTAGAGCAGAAGCAGGAAGACAGACGCAAGGATCAAAAAGCACACCGCCGATGCGATGCTGATATCCACCACTTCCTTGTCGTCGGAATCGTCCTTTGTGCGAGACGCTGCAGAAGCCTCCTGCAAATAAACCCCGTTGCGAACAAAGAATAATGCAAAGACGTAATCAACACCTTCAAGCGCTTGTACCGCCCGCTTCCTACGTCGTTGGCAGTGCATGCGGACCACAGGGACGCGCCGATCACGGTCGCAACCGCAAGACACCACAAGAAGAGCTCGCCAAGGTCAACAACAGGCCGCACTGGTGAATACAGGAGCAGCTTCACTGTGGCATACACAAGACAGGTCAGGGGCGGCACAGTGATTCATCGCACGTACCGCTTTGGCTCGATTGCAAAGCAGACTCCAAGCTTTCTCCTGCTGATCTGGGGATCATAATAGCTGGAATTGTTATGTCTGCGAAAGTGTCGTTCTCAAAGCAGACCATCTTGTAAAGCTCTGTCAAGTAAGAGAACAAGGACCTGTCAAACACAAGCTCTCACGACAGACGAAAACATCCATAAGATGTAACCCCGAACCTTCTCGGTCGTTTGAGATGAGAACAGCCGAGGCACCAGCCTGCTGCGCAATCCTTGCCTTGGTGGTGAAAGTGCAGTTCCCCCTTTCAGCCAGGAGTATGTTCCCTGCATGCTATAACAAGCGAACAAGTATTACGAGAGACCGCGGGACGAGGAGACACACCTTGACACCGCCGGGATTGGAGCAACAGTCGATGGGATCCGCTCGCGAGAGGGAAGTGACATGAGCTTTGTCAGCTCGCGCTGCGACGGGCCCCCCAAACCTGGCTGTGATGCCGACATAGTCACTTGCGGGGACGTTGTCAATCCAGTTTCTGATCTTGACCTGGGAGATTCTCAGCAAAGCAATCCAATTCTCTCAAACGCGGCAGCTTTGCTTACCAGCACGAACTTGTTGTCGCAGCCGGGGTGTTTTGGAGCATCCACGTCGTCGTAAGAGATCTCGTCCGCGCGAGTGTGGTCAGTGGCGATGATCACCAGCAGCAGCACCAGAAAATGCGCCCCTCTAGCCTGCAGCAAATCGGAGAAGCGCACTCGCTAGAGCAGCGTGCCCATGGTGTGTCATGGTGGCTTACCCATCGTGGAGCCATCGGACGCGATCGATGCCCTTGCCCTAGGACACAACTCTGACTTTGCACACGGTAAGATACCTAATACAGAGGAGCATTATATTTCCACATTACATTGCGTGGGTGTCTGCTAAATGGCGAGCTCGGAGCTCCAGGCTAGAGCTGACCCACAGCTTGCGCTCCCGCCGCTCCTTCTGCCTCCAGTTCTTGGCTCTCTTGGGTGCCAAGCGCTCGTCCCTTGCGGCAAATGCCATCCTGAAGAGCTCGGCCTTGGAGATAGAGATCTCGCCCAAGCCTAGAGCAGCGGCTTGGCTCGGGCTGCATCTCACCTCCCATGCCGATGGAGATATGTCTTCCACGAGCTGCTCGTCTAAAACAGTGCTTGGTAGAGCTTCTCTGGGGACACGGGCATGCTTGGACGACGCCATCCCGGGGTTGACAACAACGCGTGGGCACTCGAGCTCCACGGTTTGTCTCGACTCGCCATCGATCGCAGGCTGGAAGTGCACACAAGAGGATCAACTTTGGCAAGCGCGAGCTTCAAACGGTCCAGCTTACCCACACAATCCATCGTAACTCCTGCGCACCACTCCCAACCGCCACTGCATCCAAATCTTCCCAGCTCTCCTCAACTTGGTTGCGCACTCTCAAGCCCGGCAGCACGCACGGGAGTGCTAGCCTCGCAGCTCTATTGCTAAGGTGTGTGCCGCTGCTCAACATCACGTAGCGTTCAGCTTCCAACAGCTCATGAAAACCAAAGGCCTGCAAGCAAGCTTACCCACATCTCAGAGTTTCAAGAGCCGGGCAGCACTCGACGATCGTTCTAATGGACTCCGCCGTAAGGCTGCTGCAGCGGCTGTGTGCCATATTTGCGTTTGCAAATGAAAGAGAAGGCGAGTGTAAGCAGAAAAGAGTATGTCTTCTCTCGAAAGCCTCTCTTCCTTACCTTACGTCGACTGCTCTCAACCTGGAGCAAATCTTTGCTGCCTGATGAATGCCTGTGTCAGTTACATCGGAGCCGGACACATCCAGGATCTCCCATGCCGTATCCGCCAGAGGAACCAGAAGCCTGTCACACAGCAATCCCCTCCTCCGCGCGATAGCCACCAATTGCAACTGTGGTTGACGGAGCACAACACTCCACAACTGATGGCTTGGGAAAACTTGCAAAATCCCACCTTGACAGACACTGGAAGAAGCGGTGCAATTAAGTCCAAGTCGTCAACAATGTCGTCTAGGTAGCAGCCGATGCTAGCGACGCACAAGCTTAGCAGGCTTTTGGGCCCTTTCTTGTGCTTGTTGCCTGTCATGCGATCGTAATCGTAGTGAATGGAGCACTCTAATGCAAGGGGACGGATACCTGGAGCACAATTGGAAGGCGTAAGAGCTGAAATGGAGGAGGGCTTCCGAGCAGCACCAGCAGCAGCTGGCTCCTTACGAGTCGGTGGCGGTGGCGGTGGAATCTCCTGCTTGTCCATCAACAAGTTCCAATCAACCCTAAGTTCTGAAATTCTCTTTCATCAATGTGGAATGCAAAGCAGAGATACAAAGCCGCGAGTTTTATTCAAGCCGAAGACGAGATGCTCGATCGAAACAAGTTCTAGTGTTTGCTGTCCTGTGCAGCAGCGTGCCTGCTGGGCACTGGATTGCTGGCGGCGTCGCCCGCGCCCAGCATGTCGTGCAGCAGCATTCGAGCTCGGAGTAGCAGGGCAGTCGGGGAGTCGAGAGCGGGCCTCACGTCGATGGAAAACGGCCAGCGGTTGCTCTCCGACGCAGCATCGTCGTAGTAAAAGTCGATCACATACCTCATCTCCCGCCCGCCCCGGTCCACGGTCCAGTCGTGGCGGTCAAACGGCTGGCCATAGCCAAGGAGCTTCTTCAAGCGCGCCTTTGGAGACAGGTCGTGGGGGCGGCCCCTGAAGTGGAGCAGCCGCGGCTCGTCCTTGGAAGACTCGGGGAACAAGCGCCCATACGCCTGCTCCCACTGCAGCAGCCTCGCCCAGGTGCCCTCGTTGACAGCGTTGTGCGTGGTCACAACAGCCGCCATGTCCTTCTCCGTCACGTCGTCCGCCTTGTTCTTCCTCACCAGGCTGTTGTAGAACATCTGCTGGGACGGGTACACCCACGTCTCGTCCGTGCCCGCCTTGGGGATGCTGGATACCTGGCGGAAGGTTGGCAGCTCCTCCTTCTGGCCCGGCGCTCGCCGCTGGTTGGGCTGCAGGGGCATGCTGTTGGCCGGATTCATCGCCTCCCATTGCCCGCCGTAGTACAAGTGCCGCGGCATCCTCCACACGTCCCTCTCCCTCCTCGCCTCCTCGTCGATCCGCCTCCCATAGACGTCGTACACATGCGGATGCTTGTAAGCAGCCCCTCTGCCGGAGGCGGGGCACTGGCCCTGTCCAGCGCTGCTGCAGGGCGGCGGCGCGGGCGGAGCGCCCGTCACGGGGCAATCGGCGGAAGGAAAGAACCTGTAGTAGAGATCGTGGACCCTCTCCGGGATGCTCTTCTCCATCTCTCGCTGCAAAGCCCTAAAAAGATTCTCCAGGAGTTAGGGCTCCTCCCCATTTTAACAGGCCATGAGCATCATCGACATGCTCGTCCGGGTGGACGCCATCTGCAAGAAGTTTGACAAGTATGATCCGTCCAAGCAGCACAAGGACCTCATTATCAACCCGGACGACCACTTCTTGCAGCTCTACACCACAATGGAGGCCGAGATCGAAGCTACCGTCAAGGTGCGCTCGCCATGCCCTCCCACCCTCCGTTGACTTGCACGCACAGAAAGCGAACGAGGCCGCCGAGGAAAAGAACAGAGCCGCTGTCGCCACCATGAATGCAGAGATACGACGGACCAAGGCAGCTCTGCGCGAAGAGATCCCGAAGCTCGAGAGGCTGGCCAAGAAGAAGGTGGAACAACCCAACCGTCTCTAATAACTCAACCATTCTCTGCTCCATTCCCACTCCGTCTTGCTCTCCTCAAGGTGAAAGCACTATCTCCGGAGGATCTTGCCGCCCGTCCAGACCTTGTTGTTGCCCTGGCAGCCAGAATCGATGACATCCCCGAAGGCACCATGATGGGGGCCAAGAAGAAGAAGAAGATCGACAAGTCACACATTGAGATCAAGATCGACTCTGCCGCCGCTGGTACATACTTGTGATCGATACGGACAACTCTAACCTCTGGAGCTGCAGACGAAGCTTTCAGCTCCGAGAGGTACGAACACACGGCGGAGTCAGCAGCCTACCAGGAAGAGTTTCAACACAGAAAGAACAAGCAGGTATCCTAAGCCTTTGTTGTCTCGGATGGTGCTTTGTAACTCTGTATACTTTGGAACCTCCAGGACCAAAACCTCGACATCATTTCGGAAGGCTTGTCGACGCTCAAAAACATGGCGGAAGATATCAGTGAGGTTCTGTGCTGCGCCCTGTCCCCACTAGTGTCATCTCAGAACCCGCATGCGCCTGTCTCAGGAGCTCGACAAGCAAGATCCCATGGTCGGCGAAATGGAAGAGAAGGTAAACGCTGCTATGTCCAGCGCAATGTCTAATTGGACCTGGATGGTTACTGTCAGTAGATTGATAAAGCAACGGGGGACCTGACCAAGAACAATGCGAGAATGAAAGAGGTGGTGTCGAAGGTAATCTCTTTCTCCTCTTTCTTTTGGTGACTCTGCTCATTTCCTCAGTTGACAGATCCGATCGGGAAGGAACTTCTGCATTGACGTTATACTGCTTTGCGTCCTCTTGGGCATAGCTGCCTATATCTACAAGTAAATACCAGCCTAGCAAAACTTCTTTGCACAGGACTGACACCGTCCATGACCAGGGTGCTCAAGAAATGATCATGTTTTGGGAGGTTGGCAATTTTTACATTTCTATTGGTTTGCTGGATTGCTCACGCTCTTCAATTTGGCCTCCACCAGTGCCAGTGTGGCGTCCATTCGCAAGATCCTCCTGTTCGACATCACTTTTATCAACATAGTGCAGAAGAAACGCCAGGATTTTTACTGGTGTAAATGACTGAGCCTTGTGTCACACGCGCTCGAGACCTTGTTGAGGAGCTCCACCGTGTTGATTATAAAGACATTCACCTGATACATCAGATTGTCACTGATTTCATTCACACTGCCTACCAGAAAGAGCGTCCGCTGGTCCACCTCGTGCTGCATCTCAATGAAATCCAAAGCCCTAGGTGAGCAAAACAGCTCTTACTTATTTCTTGTGCTACCACTGGAACTTGGCGGCCAGCAGCACCTCCTCGTACTGCTGCGCGGCGTGATCCCAGCTCAAGTCCTGCTTCATGCCCCTCAGCTGAATCCCCCTCCAGCTCTCCTTGTAGTCCCTGTACGTCCACATCGCATTCCCGATCGCATGCGTCATGGCCGACGCCTCCGCCCGATCAAACGTCCAGCCCAGCCCCGAGTTCGTGAAGGGATCAAAGGGCGTCACCGTGTCCCGGAGGCCCCCGACGGCATGCACCACGGGCACCGTGCCATACCTCATGGCGTAGAGCTGGTTGAGGCCGCACGGCTCGAAACGCGATGGCATGAGCAGGATGTCCACGCCGGCAGTGATCCGGTGCGCAGTCTTGACCGAGAATCCCACCCATCCACGCACCTTGTCCCGGTGCTTGGCCTCAAACGAGCGTAGTAGCTCCTCCAGGTCGGGCCTGCCCGTTCCCAGCAGCACCAACTGGACGTCGTGGCCCATCATCCACGGTATCGCCTCGGCGATGATGTCCACGCCCTTCTGGTAGTCGAGCCTCCCAATGAATCCCAGCAGCGGCACGTCGGGTCGCACCGGGAGTCCCAGCTCCTTTTGCAGCGCCGCCTTGCAAGCGGCTTTCCCAGTCTCGAGGCTCGCGCTGCTGTACTGCTTGTAGCCATCGCCGACGAGGCACTTGTCCACCTCGGGGTTCCACTCCGAGTCGTCAATGCCGTTAACCACGCCCTTGAGCTTCCACGAGTTCTCTCGCATCACGCTGTCCAGCCCCCAGCCGCCTTCCTGAGTCTGGCACTCCCAAGCGTAGCCATGGCTCACCGCAATCACTCGGTGTGCCGTGAGGATACCCGCCATGAAGATGTTCATGTGTTCCCCTCCGATTGGATCGTAGAGAGCAAACTTGTCCCGGAAGTGGTCTGGCAGCCCAAGCTTTCCGAAGTCACTCAGAGGCCCACGTCCCTGAATGCAGGACACCAAAGTTTACGAGGGATGTGCTAGAAAAGAAACAAAAGCACCTGATGCGCAATGTTGTGAATGACCAAGACAGAGCGCGTATACTGCATGAGCTGATTGTCACGGTAGTACGCCTGCAGGTAAACGGGCAGCAGAGCCGTGTGCCAGTCGTTTGCAATAAACACGAGGTTCCCATCCCCGTAGCAGACGCCACCGCAAGGGACATGCCACGGAATCTACAAGAAGCAAAGACCACCACTAGTACTCTCCACGTTTGCGAGTGCTATACTGACCTCAACAGCCGCTTTACACAGGAGAATCATGCGAGCCAGTACGTCCTGACAAAGATAAACAGCAAAACATGAGTCTTTCCAGTTTGCTACTCACATCCTGCTCACCTCCCTGGAGCCGCCATAGATGTCGTGACACCAGCCATGGAACACAGGCGAGTCCACAAACACAAAGTCCACACCATCGATGTAGGCATGAAAGTAGCCAACTTCCATGTCCTGAAAAAATCAGATTTTGTCTACGACAAGAGTGGATGACCAGCGAAATATTGTCACACCGTACCTGTCCAGCTACGTTATACACCTTTCGCACACCCGTCTCCCATGCTTCGACGTAATTCTTGTAACGAGGAGCGACAGCCTGCAACCATGGAACGCACAAGTCAGTCGGGAAGGCCGTCGAGATGAATACCGACCATAACACGGTGACCCCTCCGTGCCAACGCCTTTGGTAATGCCCCCACGACATCGCCAAGCCCACCTGTATATCCGTGCGTTAGTCGGCCGATCCAGGTGATCGAGGAAAAGCTCGAGCTTACCGGTCTTAGACCACGGTGCGCACTCGCACGCCACAATGACCACATTCATGACATTGGTTCCGGCCAGTGGCGGTGCCTCATCCAAAACTTTCTTCTGGATGGGTGATCCAGAGCCGGCTCTGGCCTCGTCCAAGCCGGAGCCAGGGGGACGAACCACCCGCGGTTCTGCCGGTACAAGTACCGAAGGTGAAGGTGCCGGGCTTGATTGAGGAGGCCGCATTGACTGCGGCGGCCAAGCACCGATTCCAGGTACACTTGCCGGACTGACTTCTCCATCGCTAGGCTCGAATGGACTGGAGTTTTCCTTCTCTTTCGTGGTACCAAACTCCTGCGTCAAGGTGTTGAGGAGCTTCTTTCGTTCGGTGACCTGCGAGAAAGCAGTGGAGTTGGCGAGAGAGATTGGCATACAAACAATGTAGCAAACTTTAGAAGAGGAGAATGGTTTGCCTGCCTGTTCAAGAAGCTCCTTTTGCAAAGCCAGTAGCCTCTGACCCTCGTCGACTGCTGCTCGCACGCTGGCATCCTCAGCATTTTGACCGGCTTCACCACCATTTCTATCCGCCGCTCTCACGATCCACAGCTTCCCAGACCTTGCCAGTCCATGGCCCCTCCAGCTCCAGCAGCGCAATGCAGCCCTGTCCACAGCGCCACAGCCACTCGCTGACGCTCCATCGTCCTCGCCGGGCGGGCGATTCCTCCTCTTCCAGTTGTGCGGCGAACAAGGAGAGGAGAAATGGCGGCGATCGGCTGCGACGCCGGCGGCAGCGGCAGCGGTGACAATGGGCACGACCACGGCCGAGGGTGCCATCCTCGATCTCTCACTCGCTCATCTCTCCGCCCGTGTGCTTTTGCCCTCGGCCCTCCATGGCCACACATGAGCTAGGTTTAGGGCTCGCTTCCTCCGCCATGGCGATTCGTACGAGCACAGGAATTCCCCAGCAGCTCGCCTGGCACGCATTTCACGCTTGCATCGTCAATGGCAAGAGCGCCACCTCGCTCCTGCATCGGGCACAGCAGCAGCAACGTCGGCGGACGAGGCGGGCCGTGCTCCTCCTTGTCCTGCCGCCAAGCTCCCGGAGATTTACAACGTTTTCCTCATGTAAGCGATAAGAAAATTTGCTCTTGCTTGGCAAACTCAAGCTTTGTCTAGGACGACACAGCCGCAACCAGCGTCGAGACGACGAGCAGCACACAGGAGCACGAGCACGAGCACGAGCACGAGCAGCCAGGAGTCAGTGGTGATGCCATCAGGAGAACGTTTCTCAACTTCTTCGCAGCTCGCGGCCATCAACTTTTGCCGGGCTCTTCCCTGGTTCCGGACGATCCCACGGTCTTGCTCACCATCGCGGGCATGCTGCAATTCAAGCCCATATTTCTTGGACAGGCAAGTACCGCTGGTGATTCCTTCCAGCCACACTTGACAATGTTCTACTCTCGCGCGCACAGGTGCCCAGACGATTTGCTTGCGCTGTCACGTCCCAGAAGTGCCTCCGGACAAACGACATTGAGAACGTCGGTCGGACAAGTCGACACCACACTTTCTTTGAGATGCTTGGCAACTTCAGCTTCGGGGATTACTTCAAGCACGACGCCATTCGATGGGCCTGGGAGCTCGCAACGTCAGAGTAAGATATAGGCCATTTGTCTTCATTGCTCTCATTCTTGCAATCCGTTGCGTAGATACAAGCTTCCTGCTGCTCGTGTATGGGTCAGCGTGTACAAGGATGACGATGAAGCCCTCGCCATATGGCGTGACCACGTAAGTGACACTGTCTTTCTCGCGTTTTAACCCAGGCAGTGAGTGCTATCTTCCAGGTAGGAATTCCAGAGGAACGTATAAAGAAGCTGGGAGAGGAAGATAATTTCTGGGCAAGCGGTCCAACGGGACCTTGTGGTCCTTGCTCCGAGATGTATTTCGACTTCCATCCAGAGAGAGGGACCGATGATGCGGTAATTAATCTTGCTTTCTAGTCTTGCGATCCATCCGTGCTGATATTGTATTTCCGCTTACCAGGATCTTGGAGATGATACAAGATTTTTGGAGTTTTACAACCTGGTGTTCATGCAGTATAACCGGAATGACGATGGGAAACTAGAACTTCTTAAGCAAAAGAATATCGATACTGGTCTTGGCCTCGAGCGCATGGCAAGAATACTGCAAAAGGTATCTGTCGTTATTTCTCTTGCCATTTTTCTTTATTCCTCTCATCATCTTTTCTTAGGTGCCAAATAACTACGAAACAGATCTCATCTATCCTATCATCCAACGTGCTTCTGAGCTGGCTGGAGTGAATTATACAGCTGCTGACGACCGGACTAAAACGTACCTCAAGGTAAGTCCAGCATCTTGCTCGATCCCGGCCTAAAGTTTTTGTGCGATACAGGTTATTGGTGATCACTCCCGAGCAGTGGTTTATCTCATTTCGGATGGAGTGACCCCTTCAAATATTGGCCGCGGATACATTGTGCGTCGCCTTATTCGAAGGATTGTTCGCATGGGACGGCTGCTAGGTATTCGGGGTGACGGTGAAGGGAATTCGGAAGGAACGTTCTTGCCTAGCCTTGCAAAAGTGGTCATTAGCATGAGTTCTAACGTGGACCCGGACGTGAAACAAAATGCGGGGCGTATTTTTGAAGAGCTGGAGAAGGAAGAGCTACGATTTGTTCAGACACTGGAAAGAGGAGAGAAGCTACTTTCTCAGAAGCTGGAGGAAGCCGCGGCTGCCTGCAGACGAGATGGAAGCACCAAGCCAGTTTTATCCGGGAAAGACGTGTTCATGCTCTATGACACTTACGGGTTTCCCGTGGAAATCACCGAAGAAGTTGCTGGAGAGAATGATGTCCAAGTTGACATGGCGGGCTTTGAGACTGAAATGGAGTATCAAAGGAGGCAATCTCAGGAAGCTCACAACGTGGTCAAGCTGTCAGCTGGAGGGACAGCCGCAGAGCTTACATCCTTGGTTGAGACTAAATTTGTTGGCTATACGACGCTCGAGTCTATTGCAGAAGTGCGGGCATTGATTGCTAGAGGAGGACTTGTTACGGAGGTTCGTGAAGGAGATGAAGTGGAGATCGTTTTGGATACAACTCCTTTCTATGCAGAGTCCGGTGGCCAAATTGGTGATAATGGACTGCTTGTCTGCCGGGGCGGTGAAACAGATTGCATCGTTCAGGTGAAAGATGTCCAGAAGCTCGGTAGCAACTTAATTATCCACAAGGGAATTGTTCAGCAAGGCACAATGGCTGTCGGGAATAACGTCCAAGCTCTTGTCGAATCTAGTTTGAGGAGGCGTGCACAGGTCGGTTTTTTTTCCTCGTTTTCTTTTGACAGACTCCTTTTTGGTCGTGTGTAGGCTCAACACACTGCAACTCACCTTCTCCAAGCAGCCTTGAAGAAGGTTTTGGGGTCCGAAACTTCCCAAGCTGGTTCATTGGTTGCATTCGACCGTTTGCGGTTTGATTTTACGCTGTCAAGAAAGATGGCAGAGGAGGAAGTTGTTCAAGTGGAAGCACTCGTAAACGAATGGATAAGCATGGCCGTTCCACTAGAATGGAAGGTGATGCCACTGGCAGAAGCAAAAAACAGCGGTGCTATTGCGATGTTTGGCGAGAAGTATGGAGAACAGGTACAGTAGTGTTTTCTGTGTCTCCAGCTCGGCTGAGTCCTAATACTTGCTTGCATTTCAGGTGAGAGTCGTTGATGTTCCAGGAATATCCAAGGAACTCTGTGGAGGCACTCATGTAAGCAACACAAGTGAGATCCGAGGCTTCAAAATCGTGCTGGTGGAAGGCATCGCATCAGGTGTCAAGAGAATAGAAGCAGTAGCCGGCAATGCTTTTATAGACCACATCTTCGCACGGGAGAATGCTCTAAGGCAAATATGCTCCTCACTCAAGGTATCATGCACGTTACTTCGTGTCACACTGACTTGCAAATGCTATTTAGGCCAAGCCAGAAGATCTCCCAGCCCGAATATCAGGCCTACAAGACGAACTCAAAGCTCTGAAAAGCGAAGCAACAAGCTTGAGAGCGAAAGTTGCCATTGCCGAAGCCGACGTGTTAACAGGCAGAGCTCTCCTAGTTGGTCCAGGAGGCGTAAGGTAGCAAAACAGTCTTCTTTTCTCAGGCTCTTGACACTTTGGTGTGCAGGATACTAGTTGGAGCTCTGGAAACTACCGACGTGGATTCACTTCGTGCAGCGGTAGAGCACTGTGTTGCACTTCACGGGGATCCCTCGGCAACTTTACTAGGAGCATGCACTGAGGATGGCAAAGTTAGCCTGGTTGCGGCCTTCAGCCCGAGTGTAGTAAAGCACGGGCTTAAAGCTGGAGCATTCGTGGGGTCTGTTGCCAAACTCTGTGGTGGAGGTGGAGGGGGTCGACCAGATTTTGCTCAGGCTGGAGGTAAGCTCCCAGACAAGCTTCCAGGTGCGATAGAAAAGGCGAAGGCTGACTTGTTAGACTTACTGGCGGGCTTTCAACTGCCGTGATATAGCACATACTTGTCTCTGCACCGTGTCAAAAACTGTATAAAATTGCTCACTTGAGAAGCTGCGCTTGTCGCAATTGATCTACAACACCTTTGGACTTCTCTCCTTTCTCAGTTCTTAGTACCTGCTCATTGACACGAGTATATCAAGAATAAAAGACACAAGAAAAACCTCCTTACCTTGTCAATGAGTCCATAATCAACAGCCTCGTCCGGGCTGAAGTACTTGGGACGACGGATGTCCTCCTCGATCTTGTCTGCAGGTTGGCCTGTATGCCTCTCTAAAAGCTCAACCTGGAGCCCAAAGGCTTCGTTAGTCACGTGATAGAAAAAAAGAAAAACATATCCATCCATCCTCTTACGTACCAAGTCTTTTTTCAAGTTGCGAACTTCTCTGCGTGCAATATCGATGTCAGTAGCCTGCCCCCGAAACTGTGCAATAGGCTGCCATGCTCAATCCAAATGGAAGGAATCAGTGCCTCCAGAAATAAAAGAAAAACGAAGAGAAAGCCGACCTCTTTGAGCATGATGGTGGTCGAAGGCAGCGCAGATCGATTTCCTTTTGCTCCAGCGGCTAGAAGCAACGCAGCCTCACCCCACGCATTCCCAACGCAGAGAGTGAATATCGGCGGCTTCACGTACCTGGGGACCAAAAGCTCCATGAGAAAAAAAAAAAAAAGACACAGACAATCACGCGAGACACTTACTGCATGGTGTCATACATTGCCAGCGCCTCCGTTTCATATCCCAACTTCTCTCCATCCTGACGAGCAAAGGAAACGAGTGAAGAATAACAGGAGGCATGGAAATACCTTGGTAGTGCCTGTCGAGTTGATGTACATGTAGATTGGTTTCTCGGGATCCACGAACTGCAAGTAGAGAAACTCTGCCATGATGAGCTCCGTGACTGCTGGAACAAGTGACATGCCCAGAAAGACAATCCTGTTGTGGAAGAGATAGGATGGGAGATCGGGGGGCGGCTGTGCCGACGCGTCCCCTCGGACAAAAGGAATCACCTGTAAGAGAGAGTGTGTCAATTCAGAGGAGAGAAAGGAGTATCACTACTGACCATGGTGACTACGCCTCTGCTACCGCGTTTCTTGGTAGAGGAGAGCAGCGGTGATGAGAGTGAGAGGCTCTGCCCAGCGAACAAGCAGCATCTACTTCCTCCTACAAGCGGCTGGAAGAGCTCAGTTCCCAAACTAAGCCTCTTCTTGCCGCCCGCCACTGCCCCTCCAAACCCATCCTTCCTACCGCTGCTGCTTCCACACACAAACCAATTGCGCTGGCCGAGACTTGACAAGCCCGCCATTGAGCTACAAACCCTCCTCGGTTTTCCTTCTCCACATTATACTAAGCCTTAAAACACCCTACGCCCAAAACTTTCCTAGACATGGTTTAGCTCCGCTTCGTCTTTCCATGACTCTTCACCTCGTCCATGATTCCCTGCGACAGCTCGTCCACGGTGTAGTTCTTTCCAAAAAAATTCACAAACTCCATTTTCGGGTCCATGAGATACCTGGTAGACAAGCAGAGGGGAAACAATCAGCTGGAAGACTAGCAAGCACCACTCACATTATGATGGAGTGATCCACCAGATAGTCATCGCCTTCGTCCCCAGTCTTCATGTAGTAGACCCGAAACGACTTTGCCACCTGCTTGATATCTTCGGGAGCTCCGGTTAATCCCACTAGCCTGGGATGAAACTCTGCACGCCACAAATGGATGAGAGCAAAAGACATAACTTGCGGTACCTTGCACGTATTCTTTCATCTGCTCCACCGAGTCGCGCTCTGGATCCACAGACACAAACAACGGGGCAATCTTCAAGCCAGATTTTTTATCTGCACAGGCCAGGAAGAAATTGTAACGCGTCAGAAGAGAACTACGTTCCTGGAGCGCTGAATATACCAACCTACAGCGTCGATCGCTTGCACCATCTTTTGCAGTTCGTCGGGACAGATGTCCGGGCATGATGTAAACCCGAAATACATGAGCGTCCAGTTCCCCAGGAAATCTTTCTCTGTCACCGTCTTGCCTTCGTGGTTGACGAGCTTGAATGGGCCTCCGATCGCTGCTTTCCCGACCGAGGGGCCATACTTTACGTCCATCTCCTTGTTCCTGATCGCTGCAAACAATACCAAAGAAAAGAAACGTCACTCACTTGCCGTCTCACAGCAATCACTTGACTCACCGTCCAGCGCTTTCTTCTTCTCTCGTTCAAACACGAACAGCAATGCTGCGGCTGTGGCTACCAGAAGGAAGAAACTTAGCCACGACACTGGCTGCTCCAAGAACAAAAAGTAAGCAAAGACGAAGATCGAAAGAAAAACTTACGTTGCGGCGAACGACTTTCGGCTCGCCAGAAACTGGTGTTTCGGTCTTAGCTTGCTTGGTTTCTTCCTCCTCTACTCCCTCGGCCAAAGGTTTCTCGGCAGTAGACGTAGCAGCAGCATCGGGCTGCCCAGCCGCCGCCGCCGCCGCTGACGTTGCCGTGGTCGTCGACATTCTTCTTTGGACGCCTTGAAAGCCCTGAGACAAGAAACAAATTCTAGCACACACGTTTGGAAAAGAAAGAGGAAATTCCACACCTGGAATGCTGCCGGCGTGCCTGGGAAGAAATCCACGAGCCGAGGCGCCAAGAGACGAGAGTGATGCGACTGGGGACTGAGAATGCGGCTCCTTCCAGTGACAAGAGCAGACGCCAGCAACCTCCGCCACGCACCCATCGTGCCCGCAAAAACCCCTCAAGAACCCTAATTCGCCCCCACTGCAGCGGAGAAGAGGTTTGCCATGAGGACGTAGGCCGGGGCGCTGTCTGGATCGGTCTCGAGCAGCTGGTTGCCGATCCGATTGGCGCGCTCCATGTCGCTGTCGTTCTTGCAAGCGGCCAGCGCGCTCCCTCTCGCCACCTCGTCCGGCGAGAAAGGCATGCTGCCCATGAGCTCCTCGCATTCTCCCAGCCTCCCCGAGCGGCCCAGCGCGTCCAGGATGCTCCAGTAGTGGCACTTGGACGGAGCGATGCCGTGATCCCCCACCATGGACGTGAAGCAGTAGCATGCAACGTCGACTTGGCCGGCGTGGCTGCAGCAGCCCAACACTGTCTTGAAGCAAATCTCGTCCGCCTCCACGCCCTCGAGCTCCAACTGCTGGAACGTCTGCATGGCCTGCTTGCTATGCCCGTTCTGGGCATATGCCGCCACCATGGCCGTCCAGCTGACCAGGTTGCGCTCGCTCACTGGCAAGCACCGGAATGCCCTGCTTGCTTCCTCCACCAGCCCATTCTGGCCGTAGAGAGAGATCATAGCGTTCCACGCCACAACGTCGCGAGCCTCCAGAGAATGGAAGACCCGGCGCGCCTCTGCCACAAGGTTCTTGTGCGCATAAGCAACGATCATCGCGGTGGAGGCAAGCAGCGTCCACTGTGGCATGCGATCGAACAAGATATTGGCCGACTCCACATCTCCGCAGTTCGCGTGCGCGGAAACGACAGCGTTCCACGACACCATTCTCCTCTCCGGCATTTTATGGAAGAGATCCAGAGCCTCATGCAGCTGCCCGTTCTCGGCATATGCTGTGACAATCGCGTTCCAGGACACCACATTCTGCTCGGGAATACTATCAAAAGTTTGCTTTGCAAGTGGCAAGTCGCCATTCTGTGCAAACGCAGCAGCCATAGAGTTCCACGACACCACGTCCCGCTCGGGCATCCTGTCAAACATGACCTTGGCATTCGCAACGAGTCCCTCGTTGGCATACCCTGTGAACAATGCGGTCCAAGTTACCACACTCCTCTCCTCCATACCATCAAACACGCGCTTGGCGTCGTCAATGCGGTTCTCTGCAATGTAACATCCAATCAATGCCGTCCACACAACGACGTCGCCTTGACCCGGAGGAATCGCCTCGATTATAGCTTTTATTTCACAAATATGCCCTGCCTGGGCATTCGCAGTCAAGACAGAAGTCACCGATGCCACGTCGTGCTGTGGCATCCGATGAAACGTCTGGACCGCTTCGCGCATACGTGCAGCGCGGATAAATGCAAGGAGCAGCGCGCCCCACGCAACGACGTTCCTGGATGGCATATTATCAAATGCCCACCTAGCCCCATCCAGATGCCCGTTCTGGGCACAAGCCGACAGCAGAATGCTCCACGAGAAGATGTTCTTGTTCCGGATTGCGTGGAACACCGCTGCGGCCTCCTCCATCCTCCCAAACGTTCCATACATCTGGACCAGCACATTGCACGCGAAAGTATCGTGTGGCAGCAGGTCTGAGGACGAGCCCGAGTGGAGCTCCGCGACATCGGCGGCGGTGGCGCAGCGCTTGAGCCGAGATGCAAGGCAACTGCGTTGGAGACGTGAATCTTCCCCTTCGTGTCCGGAGCGTACGAGGGCGATCTTCCTGGTGGCCTTGGCTGCTCTCCTCAGTAATCCCATGCATTTTTACGGAAGTATGTCGAATATGTCCTGCATCCTTGCAATCCTCAAAACCTCTTGAAAAGTGAAAATGGACATAGAGACTCATTCATAATGCTCCAGTTGCACTCCCAGATCTCATTCATGTGGGTGTAAGACCTGATGCGTCGATTTTCCAAAATGAAGCTGATAAAATCCGCGTATCGATTTGGAACTGGGTCTTGGCCAATCGATTTCGACTCCAGCACTGCCCCCAGCGCGATGGATCTGATGCAGGCGTATAGTTTACCCCTCAAGGCGGAAATATCCGTCGGCCCCTCTGATGCAGTGACAAACTCCAGCAGCTCGTCTTTTTTCACGTTCCAGCAATGATCGAAGTACTTCAGTGCTATGTAATCGGACGAAAACCCGAAAGTGTATTCGACATACAACTCATCCTTGGGCGTCATGTCAAACGGAACTAGTATTGTTTGCCCAACAGACGCTGTAATGCCCCTCAACCCCACCTTCACAATCACCTCGTCCAATATCATCGCTATGTGGGAACATATCCCCACTTGCGAACAACCTCCGTAACATCGTCAAACCCCTCTGCAGAACACATGTCTATAAACTCCGGGAGGACAAGCTGCGTGAGTGGAGCACCACCACCTGTCTTGTGAATCCATTTGGTCGTGTTGTAATTCGGACTCCCGAAAACAGTCACAAAACCGTAGTGAGACCCAGAACATTGTTCGTCTATCAGGTGAATGACCGGTCCCTTAAACAGCTCGTTGCCCCTCTCAGAGACAGCCACATGCCCGTCCTTGTAAAACGCGATCCAGAATGGGCTAAGCTCAACGAGCACGTTGTACTTGCGCTCTCCAACCAACCAACCAACCTCTCGAGAAGATCAACCTTGCCACCGACCAGAATCAGCATCACATCATCCTCGCCAAAGACATCTCTGAGAGTTTCCGGAACAAAGGCCTGAGACTCCTCCAGAAGAAAAAGCACTTGTTTGCTTGGAGCTACAAAGACCTGAAAGGAGTCTCACCGGACTTATGTCTGCACACCATCACCCTCCTCCCGGATGCCCGGCCGAAGCGACAGGCACCTTACCGGATGAACCCAAACCTCATGGAGCAAGTCAAGAAGGAGCTCGACAAACTCCTCGAAGTCGAATACATCTACCCGATCCAGAATCCGATCTGGTTGTCTCCTCTGGTCGTTGTGCCGAAGAAAAACGGCAAGCTCCGAATCTGCGTCAACTACAAGCAGCTCAACGACGTCACCAACAAAGATATCTTCCCGATACCCTTCACCGACGAAGTTCTTGACGCAGTCGCCGGACACGAAATGTACTCCTTCCTCGACGGATTTTCCGGCTACAATCAGATCACCATCGCCCAAGAAGACCAGCACAAGACAGCATTCATCAGCCCATGGGGAGCATACGCCTACCGAAGAATGCCTTTCGGCCTCTGCAATGCACCCTTTACTTTCCAACGACTCGTCACCAACACCTTCCGAGACTACCTCACCGACTTCATGCGAGTCTTCATGGACGACTTCAGTGTCTTCAGCTCCGAAGACTGCCATCTCGAATGCCTCGAGAAATGCCTCGAGAAGTGCGAAGAAAACAACATCGCCCTCAACCCCGAGAAATGTGCCTTCTTCGTCAAGTCCGGAGTACTTCTCGGCCACATTGTCTGCAAAGATGGCATACTCATCGACAAAGACAAAGTCGAAGTCATACTTCAGCTCGACCCACCAAAGAACCAGAAGGACCTTCGAAGATTTCTCGGCAAGATCGGATACCACCGAAGATTCACAAACCGCTTCACCCGTAGTCACAATGACCAAG